TATATATATATATATATATATATACTGTGTACCTTATTACTATAGGAAGGTTACAAAATTCATTTTTAAATGGCAGAATTATCTATTAATTTCATTTGAGAATGGTGCAAGTGTTACTTAATATTTGTGGTAAATAGCAAGACATCTGAGAATTTTGAAAACAACTGAGCCACTACAAGCAGGGTCAATTTAAAAGGGAGATTTACCAATTTTAACATGATGAACAGGGAAAACATTCTTATATTTTGAGAATATTTACCTCAACTTGATTCGATTCTAAATTATTTCTTTTGTTTCTGAAGTGACTAAATCCATTTTTTAGGAAAATGCAAAGAAAACATGTATGTGTATTTTCTCTTTTGATGAGTAAAAGATGTTTCTCTGAACTGAACTATAATTCTTAGATTGGCTTGAGGTCAGTATCAATCAGATTCTGAATCCAGGGATAATGACAGTTTTTGAGGTCTGGGCAGAAAGATTGCTTCTAGCACCCATTACAAGATTCTCTACCCAGCAGTTCATTTTTTAATTTCCTTGTGAAAGGGTCAGTGATTACCCCCATCATGTCTTTCTCTTCAACTTCATATAAATTACAGACAAAGGAACTCTCTTCAGTTGTAAAAATTGTGAAGTGACCTTTGTGTAGAGTGATTCAAGAGATGCCAGAAAATCCCTTCTGGCTTCCAAATTCTCCTCCATGAAGCTGCCATTGAAATGGTATTCCTGGTTAAGAGGTTGATCTTCCTGAAGGAAGGCATTAAGCTAATCCACCCTTGGTCATCAACTCTGGGGTGGGGTGTAGGATCAATGAGATGAACATCTGTGATGCTGTCGTATCTTAGGTTAGATAGACTTTGCTCACTTACTTCTAATAAAATAAGGCCCAGGGAAAGGATTCTCCTACCCACTGGTACCAGTGGAAACAGAAAATTCTCATTGTGAGAGGGGCTGACTATTCCAGCATTCTTAAAGTAGTCAGTGGTACGAGTTCTATGATAAAGGGGCTCAGTGATGGCAGATATACTTGGATAATGCCATAAGAGCTCAGCGTGCAAGGGCACCTTCAGCTATCAGAGATGAGGGGAATCTGGATAAGCAGCAGGAACTTTTGCAGAAATGAGACCCAGGTCCCAGGAGCCCTGGCTGAGAGCTGGTGAACTTCAGTGAGTTTCCTTCAGGAATTTCCAGCAAGAAGAAGTCAGCTCTTGGCAGGCAGATAAGGCAATAGAGGCAGAACACAAGAAAGTTTTGAATGGGAGGTAAGAAGATTCTAGAATCCATTCTTTTTGTTTCAAGTCTCTCCTAACTTTTTTTGGTAGCCTGAGTCACAGACCTCACCGAGGGCAGGATGTAGGAGCAAAGACGTGATTGTTGGTTGCCTGAACAGTGATTTTGGACAAGCTCATCCCTAAATTAAGTAAGAAATGAAAAAAAAAAGGAATTTAGAAGGAAAAAGTTTTCCTGTTTGTTCTCAGGAGGGTATCACCTATTTATCAAATATAGACAATCATCAAAGTCTACAGCAGCCTTCTGCAGGTCTTCTTAAAGTCTCCCCACCTTCTTGCAGGTTCACAGAATTTC